GATCATTCAGGGTCTAATGTCACTACCAGGCTCCTCCTACCTTCCCAAGGACTAACAGGGCAACCATAATTTTGTACTCTTGAGGAGCCATCTGCCAAACTGCTCTAATCCCTATCACAGGGACTAACCCTATGTCAATGACTTCTCACCCTACTGATTCACCTACTGCAACTAAAAGGAAATGCATGAAATCTGCCTGAAAGGATGCATTAGCAACTGGTGGACCTTCATGATAGCAAGAAGCCACTGAGTATACAACTTGCCATATAAAAGGGGAAACAAGAGATTCTGCATTGGTAGTCAATCTATAGTGGAAAAGAAAAAAGGTTCTGATGTTAAATGTGGCAGCATCTCTGAACCTAATCACTAGTCAAGACATTCAGAGTGCACACACCTAGGAACCATGAGAACTTCTGTTTGTGCACACACTACTGACATTACCTGGATCCAGAAGACCACATGATGCCCTACCAGGTATAAGCACCCTGATTGTTACTTGACATTTGCAAGAGGTTCTGCCAAGAGTCTTCTATGCATTCCTATCCCCTGTTGACAGGAACCTGGAGAACACATGCAGAGGAGGATGTTGGTGGAGAGGCAATGAGAATTTTGGTACCACTGAAAACCAATGAGTGACACTGAAAACCTACCTGGGTGCTAGGATGATTGCCAGGGAAACAATTCTGTCCCCAGAGCCCAACCTCTCCTAATGAGAATCATTATTTTAGTATTCACAAGTTCAGCATCATTTGGACCCTGCCCATGCAAGGTATCCCATCCCAGGTACTAGCCTGGCTGAAAATTCCATCCTCTGATCTAAGAACGTTCAAAAGAAGGAGGGGGCTGGGAAGGCCAAGACACCTTCCTAATGTACCTATGTACATTGAGGTGATGAGACCTCATCAGTGACCTGGGCCTAAGCCCAGAGTTACCTGGACGTCTGTAGGTATTCACCTGAATACTTTGTGTGGGTCGCTCCAACAATAGGAACCCCCTGAAAAACATATTGAGAAACATTGATTTAGTCTACTTCTTCTTGCACTAGCCCATGTGAAAATTGCAGAAGTCATTGTGTTTGTTTACTAAGCCCACTTGATTCATTACTGGAGTCCTTGAAGAATGCCAAGGAAAATTCAAGGTAATAGGCATTCTTTCTTCCTTGAAGAGAAACCTGAAGAAGTTAGAAGGGTCAACATCTGTCTAGAATACAAACAGTAAGCCAAGCCTCTCCATCAACAATGGGGAGCATAAAAATTGGATAAGGGCCAGGCATCCTACATGAAAATGGGATCCTTGTTCATAGGCACTGGGAAGCACTCTTCTTTTCCCTTCAGGAGCATGCATGCCCAAGAGTGGGATAAAGGCCATGGTTCCCCCCTAACCTCCTCCACTGTTCATCAGAAAAGGAGAAAGGGTCATAGGCCAGGTGGGACAAAGTCTCACAAGACCTGATCACTACCTGTGCCCTGGTGATAAAACACAGCAACACCAGGTTAGGCAGAGGCTCCTTTTCCACCTCTGGAATGAACAACAGGCTATGTTCACCTTTGGACATGCTTGACCATCTGCAAACTTGCATCAACAAATGTCTGTTCATTGCTGTGTATATATGAAGGGAAGGCCAAACATCCCATGCTAAAACCAGGCTACTCAGCATATACTTTGCTCTGCAAGAACACCTGCCCTTCACATTGTCCATCACTACCTGCACAAGAGGCTCACTTCACCAGTATTCCAGAACCAATCTGACAGGAATACCATCATCCCAAAAATCTAATCCTCAACAAATGGTCACCTGCAGAGATCCTGTCTTTCCTGCTCTGCATACTGTCTACCACAATATCACTGCACTGGGTAACAAGCAATCCCAGGACACAGAGACTCTTAACATTCATTCCCTGCACCATGCCTAAGGACAAACTCATGGTCATTGGATTGGTTCAGTTCCACATTGTTTCCCTAGGTGTCTCTACACAAAGAGTGGCCACAAAAACCCACAGAGGTTCCACCACCACTTACCACAGCCCATGGAGATCCCCTGTCCTGTGATGAAATGGAACCCAAACTTGCCATTACCTGGATCCCAGGGATGTTCAATGAGACGGCCTCTCATGGCTGACCATAAGTTCTGGACCACACATTGGAAAAAGACACCCAAGAAAACCTATCATTTACCAGTTCCCTTTTCCAAGACCACCTGCACAATCATCATTCAGGGTCCACTGCCTCTTCCAGGCTCCTTCTATGGGCCTATGCAACAGTAAATGGACACTTGGAGGGGATACCTGCCAAATCACTCCTATCCCTATCTCAGGGACCCACCCTATGACAGCGACCCATTGCCCTGTTTATTACACTTCTGGGACTAGCACAAATGCCCAAGATCTGCAGGTGGGAATGCAACAGCATCTGAAGCTCTCTCACAAGATCAAGAAGGCACTGAGCACCACTCTTGACAAAGAAAGAAACATCATAGGTTTGTCATCAATAGTCAAATCTATATGGGAAAAAAAGGGCTCCAAGTTTGAATGTGGCATCAGACCTGTACCATGCCCTAATCAAGAAATGAGTGCCTGGGAAACATGAGAAAATCTTGTATGCACAGGCTCCAGCCACCTGAGTTTGCAACATCAAATGGTCTCCAGTGAGGTATGAGGATACTGATTCTTACTTGAGATTTGGATGAGATTTCAGCCATAATCTTCTAAGGCTTCACTGTCCTCTCCAAAAAGAAACCTAAAGAAAATGTGCAGAAGAAGGTGTCAGTGTAGAGTTGATGAGGATTTCCTTGCACAAGAAAACCTGAGTGATGCAAGAAATCACAGTATGCTGTGATGACTGCCAGAAAAACAGTCTTGTTCCCAAAGTCCCACCTCTCCTAAGTGACCAACTGAAAGCTCTCTTGTTTAATGCTCCCCAGGCAGGTTCAAAACAAAAACAAAACAAGGAAAGATTAATGCATTCAGTGCTTTTGAATTGGGCATCCATTTGACCCTGGCCACACCAAGTGTCCCCTTACAATTCAGAGCTTGGCCAAGGTCTTCATTCTTTCTGATATGAGCCCCTACATTTCAAGGAAAAGATCTGGAAAGCCCAAGGACACCTTGGTCATTTTCACATATAAGAGGTGGTCATGGGAAGTCATCAGTAGCCTAGACCTAAGCTCGTACTTACCTGAATGTCTGTAGTCATCCCCCAGAGTACTTCATGCAGCTCACTCTGACATCAACAGCACTGTGAAAACCACATCAAAGTACAGTGATTCACTCCATGTCTTTGCACTTTGAGGAAGTCATTGTGTTTACTCCATGTCCTTGCTCCATGAGGAAGTCACTGTGTTGGTCTGCACAACTACTTACTTGCTTAAAGGCATGGGTCTTTCCAGAACTCCAAGGATAAAGCCTGCTAAGAGAATTCTTTCTCCCTTAAATGAAAATATGAAGAAGTTCTGAGGGTCAATAACTATAGTGATGAATATTTGGATACTATCGATAATTTCTACCTTCCTCTCTCTGACTGTGAGCATGAAAAGAACATTTGGCCATGAAGAATGGGCCACCCATTCTACAAGACAATGGGATGCAGCCTCATAGCCATTGAAAAGTCTCTATTGTTTTACCTCCATTGACATGCATGCCAAACAGCAGGGAAAAGAAAAGTCCCTTCTCCAAAGTTCATCAGAAAAAACTAAGATATTCCATGACTGAAGATCTCGCAAGACCTGATCATGACTCTGGCCCTTAGCAGCATTCATGGTGACAAAACATCACATGGCCAGGTTACGTAGAGGCTCATTTTTTACCTTTCTAAGGAATATCATGCCCTGTAGCCAGGCTACATGGATAGAAGGTCTCATCTATCATCAGCAATCTCACCGCAACAAACATTTTTTCATCACTGCAGTTATCTGAAAGGAAGGCAAACCACACCCTGCTAAAACCTTATCCTTTGCTCTGCAAGAACACTGGGCTGTGCTCTGGCATCACCACTGGCACAAAGGCTTTCTCTTCACTCTGACACCAGAAGCAATTCAAGTGCAAAACTATCATCGTGAGACTTATTATCATCAACTACTGACCTGCAAAGAATTCTGTGCTTTCTCCTGGGCAGGGTGGTCCATCACAATGCCACTGGACCAAAGAATAAGCACTCCCAGGGTGTAGTGAAGATCAACATTCATTTTACTGCACTATAAATGAAGGAAAAATTCAGGGTCAGTGGATTGGCTCAGTTCTTCCGTCATTGCTTTCCTGGGATCCAGAACCTAAAGCAAAGTCACAGCAACCCCACTACCCCACGACCCCACATCAGGGACCCCAATATCACTTAGTGAAGGCCATGGATATTCCCTGCCTATGCTGCAGTGAGGGTCCATGGCTGTTCTTATATGGATCCTGGTGATGTTCAGGGCTCACCATGAGCTGTGGACTCCCTCACTGGAAAAGAAGCACAAGAGATTCTACCCTTTATGGTCTCCTCCGTGTCTACCTGTACAACTCCCATGTCATCCTATCATTCAGGTTCCATCACCACCACCACACTCCTCCCTCCTTCATGTCAACAAACTAGCCATGCAATGGTAATTGATACCTTTGAGGAGATACCTCCCAATTCACTCCAATCCCCATCTCAGGGACCCACCCTGTCACAGTGACCTCATGCCCTGCTTACTCCCCTAGTGGGACAAGTATGAAATACACGTCATCTCTCCTGGAAGGGAACCAATAGCATCTGATGCTTCCTCATGACAGCAAGAAGGCACAGAGCACCACACTTGTCAATGAAGAGGGCAATATCAGAGGTTCACCAACAATAGCTAATCTGTCACAGAAAAAAAGGCTACAATGCTGAATGTGGCACAAACTCTGAACCACTCAGTAGTCAAGACCTTAGAGGATGCATGTCTAGGAAACATGCGAACATCTCATGCACACCCTCTTCACATCCATCTGAATACAGACCATCACTTGGTGCCCAATGAGGTACCAGCACCCTGATTCTTACCTGAAACCTGCATGAGGTTCCAGCCATAGTCTGCTCATCTTCCCTTGAAGGAACCTGCAGAAAACATAGAGAAGACAATGTCAGTGTTGAGTCAATGAGCATTTCAATTCCCACAAAAACCACTGACTCACACTGGAAATGTACCTGGCTGCTGGGATGACTGCAAGATAACAATCCTGTCCCCACAGTCAAACCTCTCCTAAGTGGACCCCTGCACACTCTCCTGTGCTACAGCTCCCTGGGCTGGGACACAACAAGCACCCAAACCTAGACACCATGTCTTCTTCAGTGCTCACTCTTTTACCATCCATTTCACCTAAGCTGTGCCAAGTGTCCCCTCCTAGAGAGTGGCATTGCTGTGGATTCCATCCTTCCTTACTTGAGCAACTTCAAATCAAGCAGTGGGCTACAAATGCCAAGCCACACCTTTGTCACTTACTCATGCACATGGAAGTGACAGGACCTCATTGGTGGCCTGGGCACAAGCCCACACTTACCTGGATATCTGTATGCATCCATCTGATTATACTGTGCTGCTCACTGTGACATGACTGTCCCTGTGAAAATGACATCAGAGAATACTGATTTAGTCCATGCAAGTCTCCTTCCACCAGCACGTGAGTATTGTGGAGGTCACTGTGTCAGACTGTGGCCCCTTTGCTTTAACACCTCAGTCCAGGGGTGTTTCCTAGAAAAAATATGGTAAGAGAATTCTTTCTCACTTGCAGGGAAACTTGCAGAAGTTCTAAGGCTCAATATTCACAGTAGATGTTAGCAAGAATCCTGGCCTCCCCATCCACCTAGCCAACATGAAAACTACATTGTGGGTCAGTTCCCCTACATGAAAATGAGACACTTACCAGCAGCTATTGGGAAGATTTCACCTTCACTGGCACACAGGTGAATCAGTGGGGAAGAGCAAAGGGTGCCCAAGTGCCCTCCCACAATGTACATCAGTAAAGAAGAAGGTGTTGCATGGCTGAGGGTAGCAGCATCTCCCAAGACCTTTTGGCAGGATACCTGGTGATGAAACATGTTAATACCAGGTTAGGCAGAGGCTCCTTCTGACCTGGATACAGACATCTGGCCTAGTGATCAGCTTGTACCCATGGTGGTACTTCCCTGGCCTTCCGTAAGTGTACATCAACCAATTTCTTGATCACTCTGTATCCATGAAGGTAAAAGGAACAAGACTATGCTAAAAGGATACAGCATGTTCTGCAAGCATACAATGTGCTCTATTCATTGACAACCACCACTGGTGTGGGAGGCTTCCACTCCACCCGCATACCAGATTGAAACTGAGAGAAGAATATCATCCGAAGGCTCTTATCCTCATCAAGTGGATGCCTGCAAGTTACCTGTGCTTCTTTCTCAGCAGTCTGGTGCTCAAGCATGTCACTGCATATAGTGAGCAAGCAATTCCAGGACACAGGGACCTTGAACAGTACATTCCCTACTCTATGCAAAAAGAAAACTCACACAGACTAGATTTCTGATTTTCTAGTCTTTTTATACTTGAATTTATTCACACAAAATATGGTATCGGCTACACTCAGAACCCCAACATGCTCCACTGAAGCCTAGGAAGATCCATTTCCTGTGCTGTGATGGAGGCCATACTTGCTGCTATCTGGATCCTGGTGAGGTTCCAGGGGCTGGCCTTTCCTGGCTCACTGTGTGGTCTGGATCTATCACTAGAAAACACACCCAAAAGAACCTATCCTGTACTTTATCCTATGCCCTTCTTTTTCTCCATCTGCACAATCTGCACATCATGGGATTACTCAGGGGTCCATCACCACTACAAGGACCCTCATTTATGTGCAATGAAAGCCAGAGAAGAGAAAATGATCACTCCTGAGCAGACACCGGACAAACTGTTACAGTCTGTATCTCAGGGAGCTACTCTAGGATAATTATCTGAATCCTTGCTTTTTCTCTACAATGCCTAGTTTGTTGTTGTTGTTGTTGTTCTTTTTTTGAAGCAAAAAATTTATTAATACATTTCAGGTAAACATAATGATAGCATTCATCACAGGGAATTTGTACCTGTTCGTGATGTATCTTGCTTCTTTTTTTCCCATTCTCCTCCCCTCCCTCTACCTCTCTTCTTCTCCTTTATTTACAAAAGCTTTGTTTCCATTTTTTCTTCCATTTTCTTTTCTTTCTTTCTTCTTTCCTCTCCCCCTCCACCCTCTTTTGTTCCCCTTTACAATGGCCAGTTTAAATGCACACTTTCAGCCTGGATTCGGTAGCACCCAATTCTACACCCTGATAAGAATGAGGCCCTTAACCTCACACTTGCCAAATAAAGGAGACTACCTCAGAGTTTCACTATCAACAATGAAAATCACATCTGAAAATAAGGCCTCTGATGTGTGAATGTAGGGTCAGCTCAGAACTCGACAGTCACAGTGATCTTCCCAGCATAAGAATCCAGTACATGACAACATCTCATTAGGCTATTACCCTTATGCTAGCCACCTGGATATTGAAGATTGGATGGGTGCCAATGGGCTGTAATTTATACTTTTGTTTTTCCTCGGTTTGTTCAAGGTTTTTTCAACACACTCATTCAATTGATCACTTCCATTAACTTGAAAGCACCTACAGAAAACTGTCATTTAGCTCTCATCTTGCTCTTCCATGTCACTGACTCTTTCTGCCCCTCACCCAGAAACAGAAAGGCATCCTTCAGCTATGTGTTAATATAGTCCTTAATTCTATGTAAATTGTATTCTCTGGCATCTCCGTCCTGTGTAATATAGCCATCTGTAAATTTTTCAATGTTTACTGTTGTGTTGTAACACCACCATGTCTACACCCAACCATGATGCAATGTATCCCTGAAATTGTACAGGTTCAATATTCATTTCTGTCTCATACAAAATGCAGTATCACATTCACTAGATATTTTTAACATGTCTCTCATTTCATCCATTAGTACTTGTAACAAAAGCTCGGTAACAAGTGTCAAGGACATCCTCATCACTCATCCCTGTATATGAAGATCTGATTTCCTGTGATGTGGTGAATGCCCACATTAGCACTTATAGAGAGATCAGTAATGTTCTACTTTACAAACTTATTTTGCTTGCTGTGATGTATTCACCTATCTGTGGACCCTTGTCATCGACTTCTGATTTGGTATATGTCTCATTTGCTCTTATACAACTCCAAATTCCCTATGTCACTTCATCATTTCAGCATCCACTTATGTTATCTAGATACTTGCAGGCTTCCATGGATAAAGCCTTGTAAGCGAGCGTTGTCTGTCTTCAGTGATACATGCAAAACTTCCAAGGACAATATTTCAGAGATGGCCTCAGTGAAAATTACATGAATCTCTTCTCCACCAGTAGCAATACAAGCATATTACATCTATTACATTCCAGAAAAGATGTAATGACATTTGATGTATCCTTGTAATATTAAGGTGATAATATGTTTTGAAAACATGTATCACCAGAAGTGGGGGAATATAATAAAACCTAACACAGTCATAAAATGAATTGCTGAAAATGAGATGTCACTAGTGAGTGACTATATCACCCCAGACCAATACACTAGCCAAGACCTTAACATCTGAGCACCTAGCTAAGAACTTGCCAGGATTATAGAAGATCAAACAGCCTTCACTGGACTATGACCATTTTATCATTTACCTTGTTACTAGGGTGACTGCAACAACCCATCAAAACTTCAGTACCAGCAACGTTCTCAGAGTCATCATATTCTCTTCACATAACACCTTCAATGATTAAATGGTCAATACTGTGGAAAAAATAGGACATCTTACCAAGACACACGTAGTTATTACTGAGATTATTACTAACGTCATTATATTTAAACTCTAAATGCTAAGGAATAAAAAATAGTCCTTATTTCCCAACTGACAATTTTTTTCCTACCTGACACACAAAAAGCATGATAACACAAATGTCACCTTGATTGCCTAGGTATCTGAAAATCAAATGGTCCATATATTTTTAAAGCCCACATCACCACTCAGAAACCAGCAAAATCTCCATGAAAAATCACTGAGAAGCCTCACCAGCCCCAGCCTCTGACTTTCCCCTCATCTTTGTAAGATGTGAACACTCTCAGACAGTTATGATGCCCCTAACAATCCTTTGTCTCCTGTTTACAGGCAGCAAATGCTCCAGTCAGTCCTTAGGACCTAACGAGATCTGATTAGTGGATGCCTCTGCTACTCAGTGTTACGCGGCCCTGGAATTGACCATTATGGGGGTATTTGCACTAAAGAAATTAATAAATTCCACACTTGGGGCATTTCTTTTGGGAGAACCAGTTATTAAGCATTTACCAGAATATGCTGGTGCACAAAGTAATAAATGAACAGGGAGAAGCACTATGAATACTGACAACTCAATCTTTTTGTTTCTCATGAACTTCTTGCAACTTTTGTAGATGAAAGAATATGTCAGTTTGCTCCACATATGCCTTAAAATACACTATTTTTCTAAACTGTTATATATTTTATGAAAAGAAATGTTAGACATTTTTATTACAAATTTCTTAATATAATATTAATGCTGATTAGGAACTTACAAATCTCACCTCAAAAGTTTATAAATGTCCTTACAAAGATAGGTATTAAATAATTCTTACTATATAATTGTTCAAAAACATTTAGATAAGTGTATACATATATGTATATATATATTATTAGACCTAGCATAGAAATAAGATACATAAATTTATAACATAGGTATAAATATATAAAATCACTGATACAGGTTTGAACACACACACCTTCATCCATTCATCCTAGTGATAGTCTTATTAGTAGTGGGTCTCTAGGGCTCGGACTTACTAAAATGTTTCTGATTTAAATCCAAAGAGCTGAAAACTCATAAATTGGGTTGGAGATGCTTACAAGCCAGAAAAAACATGTTCTAGAATACATTAAGAGTAATAGCGATGCACAGAATGTATGAGAAACTCATTCACCAGCTGAAAAGGCCTCTGGGATTTGACAGAGTGGAAACAAAAAGGCCGGTTCAAATGACAAAGCCAAATCTCACTAAAAGGTCTTTCTTTTGAAGACTGCATTTAATTGACCAGTAACCTGGCAAGTAGTACATTTGTAGAATGCAGTTTAGCTGAAAAGCTGGTTTCATGAAGGAGTCAGTGACCGCTGGAAGTAATCAATATGCCTGTCCCCATGGCCCATGGCCTAAGTACATATGGATTTCAGACCCCTGCTTCTAGTTGCATACTGGTCATGCCTCCTGATTAGCTCTGACACACAAAGAGCTCTGAAATTATCTTTCCTGTTCTGACTATACGAAAACAGCTGAACAAATGAAAAATCAACAACTTTAATCAGATCTGGTCACATCACAAACTGCCACAGCAAAAACCAGACAGACATGCAAATATAGAGAATCGGTTTACCGGGACCAGAGACATATGGAGATAGAAACTGCTAGGAACAAATAAACAGCAACTGATGAACTGCTGAAAGCTGACTGCAGACTAACTCCAGAGTTAAAATCCAAGGTACCCAGTTTTAGGGGGCCTCCTATACTGGTGTGGGTTTGGCCTTCAGAAGACCCACCAGGGGTGAGTAAAATATGAGAGACAATCTTCTCTTCTGTGAG